GAGGATTTTATAGCACACTTGAGGCCTTGATAAAGCCTTCCACAGTAGTTTGTCCTTTTATCTAAAGGTAATATAGAGCCATTGATATTTTCAAGCAAGGTAGTGACATAGTCAAGCCTATGAAGTAGGAACATTATTTTATCAGGTTGTAAAGGGTAGATTGGAAAGGGGATAGATGATAGAGTATTTATTAATCGCTTATTATTTACCAGGCACTGTGCTAAGCACTGACGACACAAATATAAGCAAGCAAGGCCTCAACAAGTTTACACTCTTATAAAAGAGGATACACACAAGTGAGAAACTGAAAAGGGGCTTGGTGGCTGGAGTAGGAATTGACAACTGGAAAGTAAGGCAAAAAACCACCTATCAGGATCCAGCATGGTTCCAGGCCTAAGGTTCAGGAGGGCAGGAGGTGAGGGTGGAGTTCAGGAGTAGAGACAACATAGTTTGGAGTTAGTGGATGAAGGGGTAGAGAGGCCATGTAGTTTAAAAGCTAGGTCAGAACTGAAGAACATCTGAACTAGGATGGTGACAGTATGAGTGGAGATGAAGGGGTGGCTATAACTTATCAATCAACTAACCAGCATTTAATAAGCACCTACTATGTACTAGGTACTATGCTCGGGTTGAAGATAAGTGATAGGCACTGGACCTGTGATTTCACTGATATAGGGAACTCTCAGGAAAGCTACCTCTGCCATTGCAGGTTAACAACTTCTCTGAAATTTATGGTTTTAAGAGAGTTGGCTAGTATGCTGAGAGGTTAGATAATTTGTTCAGGGTCACACAGTCAGAGTATGTTGGGGCTTAACTTCAATCCAGGTTTTATTGCCTTCTGGACCAGATCTCTATCTATATTCTTTCTCCAAGCCTGGGAATCAGGTTAGATTTCATCTACAAGGTGGTACTTGAGCTAAGCTTTGAAGGAAGATAGGGATTTTCTTTGATCATTTTCTTTGATCACCCTAACCTCTCAAATTGCTCTAAGACAGAAATTATGTGCCAAAGATAAAGCAACTTTAGCTGTTTCCATGTTCTAGGACACCCAGAATAAAAAAAAATCCATAAAAATCATGCATTGTAAAAACTCATGAACTGGTCTCAGCTATTCCTGAATTCATGCAACACCCCTCTCCACCTCCCACACTACTGACATGAGGCTGCACCAGCAGACCCAAGGGCCCAACACAGGCTAACAATTAAACCCACCCTCAACACCCTTTTCCCTTTCCCTCAGTAAAGTTCTATGAAGACCCCAACTCCAAGTTTCAGAAGTTTGCTCATAAGAGACAGCCAGCATAGCTGCAACCCTTCAGGAACAAAAGCCTGCTAGCAGCCATGACTGCATAGAACAGCCACTGCAAAGCTCTGAACAGTTGGTGCAGAAAACTAAAGAACAGAGGGAGAATGACAGGACACCATGTGTGCAGCACTTCGCTAAAGCTGAAGGAAAGAGCACCAGCATCCAGCTGGGACCATTTCTGACCATCCAAAAGTCATTCGGGGCAGAAGCCTAGGTTGTAAATTGCTTGATATTGGAGCAGGCTGAGATGCTTTGAGATCCAACCCTCAAAGAAACCACCATAGAGTGAATAGAGGAAAATCAGAAAGAAGAAAAAAAGACTGAAATTACCAAAGATCTCGGGAAGAAGAAAACTCATAGACTTTGAATATAAGGAGATAAATCAACAGGCAAAACATTAACAGCAGAAGGAAATATGGCCTCCAGATCTAGTAAATGAGTTCAGGCATCTACAAATAAATACTGCAAAACAAAGAAAAATAATCCAACACTTGGTGAGACTGAGGACCCAGTGGAATGTGAGGAGGACATGGAAGTATAACACTCTGTTCCTGAGTGGTTCAAAAGAGAAATGAAAATTATTAGAGCAGAATTTATGGCCTGCACAGCAAAAATAATGGGCAGAATAGAAAAACTAGAATCTGCAATAACAAGTCTTCCCAAAGAAACAAAAGAGAGTGTCACATGAGGAATAGATTGTGAATGCTTATATGCAGAAGTGAATGACAATCTAGAAGAGAAGCAAAAAAACCCCCCAATAACTTAAAATGAAAACATGTTCACTGTGAAAGCAAAACATATTGATCCCAAAGTCAAGGTATAGCTCTATATAGCCTGACTTCTGAGATTAGTATATTTTGTTTAACCTAATGATCATAGGTCTCCCAGAAGAATATGATTGGACAAAAACCTTTAACACTAGAATACAGGAAATAATAGACAAGAACTTCCCAGAACTTTTGAACATAGAAAATGAAATACCAATTCAAATAATTCACCTCCAGAATTGCCTCCAGAAAAGAACCCAAGACTGCAACTCTAAGACACATAGTGGTTTTATATTTAACAACTCAATTCAGAAACAACAAATTCTGAAAATGATCAGTAGAAAGAGATTCAAATACAAAGGAAAGTAAATTTGAATAATACAAGACTATGCTGCACCCACCAGAAAATGTAGGAAGAAATGTAATAATGGTTTAGTTGTTTTTTTTTTTTGGTGAGGTAATTGGGGTTAAGTGACTAAGGTCACACAGCTAGTAAGTGTCAAGTGTCTGAGGTCACATTTGAACTCAGATCCTTCTGAATCCAGGGCCAGTGCTCTATCCACTGTGCCACCCAGCTGCCCCCTGGAATGATATATTTTGAAGAATGATAGAGCCATCAGGCAAAATAGACCTATCTAGCAAATATGAACTTAATCATCTATAAAAAAAAGATGACTATTCAAAAATAAAGAGGTATTTGATTTAGAGAGAAAACCAGAACTGAAGAGATTTTTTACTTCTTAAACACCCTAAACCACAAAAAATGCAGGAAAAATGAATAAAGGCAGCAAACAACAGCAACAGAGTAACAGTAGAGAGATTAGTAAGAAACATATATCTAAGTGTACACAGAGAGACGGGGTTAAGGTGGAAATTTGATAGATGTAATAATGAAGAAGGAGGCATAGGGCATTATGGACAGGACCTGGTGTGAGAGTATCCCCGAGATTTATATATCTGTTTTCTATGAGTTATGTTAGCAGGCAGGTGCACTAGCCATAGAGTAAGAAAGGAGCCCATCAGGATGTTTTGTAGAAACAGTTGAATTCAAGGCTGGTTCTAGTTTGTGGTGCACAGCTCAGCAAGCAGCCAGCGAGTGAACACCAGTAAAAGTGCTTGAGAGTGAGCAAGACTTTGGCTCACCGCAGGAATCTGACTCCTTTCTTACTCTGTGTCTAGTGCACCTGGCTGGTAAGGCAACTCACAGAAAACAGACATATTAATCTTGGGGGTACTCTTATATTGGCAACACCCTGCCTACAGAGGAATCAATGATTTCTTTTTTGGGGGACTACATCACAACATGAGAATGTATATAAAAAGGAGAGGGGGGGACAGAGAGGAATGTGCAATGTACAATGTGCAATGCGGAGTGGGTGAGAAGGAGGGGGAAAGGATTGAAAAGGAGGGGGAAAGAAGGAAAATTTCCTTTGGTGGTGAGAGGGTGATGATGAATGATGAATGTTCCTGTGGAGGAAGAGAGATGGTCTGTGATAAAAGATGGGGACCTTGTGCCGAATATAGCCTAGGGAATTTGATCCTTGGAAAGTATACTTATCCTACCTTAAAAGATTGGGGGTAGAGTAGGGGTAATTGGACCTTCTTAGGGCAAATGGAACCTGAGGGAATGTGAGAACATGGAACAGGGAAGGTATAGATTCACAATGGGCTGCATAATCAGGGATGTGGTGGAGGATGGGCCCAACCACGGACAGATTTTTTTCTGACACCTGCAGTAATTGACATTGTTGTGGGAGTGAGGCACATGGAGAGCCTAGAATGGATACCTTGGAATCTTTGATTGCACGAGGAATACAAAGAAGAGAGAGAGAGGATAGATAATTATTGGAGTCATGAGTCAGAGAACAAGAGTCTGGATTAAAAAGAAAGTTGGATAATGGATAATGGAGAGAGTGAGAGAAATTATTTTTGGAAAGGGGCACAAAAAGCGAAATTTAAAGAACTAATGAGCAGGACTAATTAAAGGAGAGGAGAGAAAGGAAGACTATTTGACTGGGAAGATAAAAGGGAGAGGGGAAGAATTACATTACCAGATAAAATCAGGAGAGAAAAAGGAACTAATAAGCAAAACCTCAAAGGGAAAGAGGGTAGCAAAGAAGATGAGGGGATCAGGAGTGAAGGGAAGAGAGCCAGTGGAAATAGGACCACCTTAAAAAAGATTAAGGAAATGTAACTGTACTATAGACTGTCTTGCTATAGACTAATGTTGATCCTCATGTAGTTGGAAAACATGAGGATAAGAATAAAGGGATGAGAGAGATTTCTGGTAGAAGGCTAGAGCAGTAGAAGAGGTTGGGCTGTCCTCAAGAAACTCAAAGAGCTGGGATTGAAAAAAGTAAGAAACACATGTAACAATACACATAGAACCTGCTGCTGCTAGGCCTGAAGAGGTTAGGGTGTTTGCCTGCTCTTACACTCAGGGGCCCCTCTCAACTCTGTCCACGTGCTCTGACCAGGTTCAGTGCTGGGGAAGCCGTTGTCCCCACTAGAGAGTAAGGCTTTTTTTTCCCCTTTCCATCTTTGAGTCTTTGTGCCCAGATGACACAGCCCTAGAGAGAGAATCACTTCAATCATTGGCTTAGCTCATGTCTAAGGTCTCCCCAGAAGGGGGAGATAATAGAAAGGTACTATTCCCATAGATCAGATGTAGCCTAGCTATTTACTTAAACAGATGCTATGGAACACAAAAAACTCACAAGCACAAATTGAAGTTGTTGTTGTTGTTGTTGTTGTTGTTCATCCTTCATTCTCAAAGAGAAACAAAGATATCATGGGGATGAAGCCTTGGCTTGTACATGAATTGGATTTGAGTGAGGCAGAAATGCACAAAGTCATCAGCCTCACTGTTTCCTCCAGAGTTATGTGGGTCCAATGGCAAGACAAAGGTCAAGACAACTGGTGATGGCCCAAGATATAGTAGATGACCTTGGCCTTTCTAAATTTAAGTCTTTCCCAGGTCTCAGTTTGTCTGAGGTCACCACAAATTGCCAAATTCTTAAACAAGCAGTATTAACTTATAGCTAGCTATTGTTACACTTTACCAGAAGGTTGAGATTTAAAACCATCAAAACACGAAGCAGTTTGTAGGCCTGCTCAATATGCATTTTTCCTTACACACAGCTCTGCACTGTCTTCTTCAAGAGTAATATTTTTTGGCAAGCCAGGTCAGGGATTGGACTCAACTTCCTGTTGGTGCCATTTCTCCAAGAAGGGTATAGCTGAAGATCACTCCTCCTGTTGACAGTCAGCTGTGATTGAGGGACTTGGGATTCTCTGCTCTTTCAAAGTCAGAAAGCTGCCTCCAAGGCTGAACAAATTCATCTTGGGATTATGTTTTGGTCACCTATACTCACAGAAGGCAGACAAAATAGAAAAGGTAGCCAGGAGTTTAAAGTCCAGGTTCAGGCTCACCTAGCCAGTACATGTATTATCACTGCCCTGTGTTAACAGCTACCATGCTGTGGTGGGGGAAAGTTCAGGTGCCCCTCCTCTTTCGCCTCTAGGGAAACGTTTGAAGAATTCTGACAATATCTACAGAGGGGGAGAAAGGGATATCTGGAGGGTGGGATCACTTCCTTTAAAATCCAATGAATTGGCCAACAGTCAAAGGGTGAAAGACAAAGGAAAGACCCAAGGTTTGCTATATAATCCCAAAGTGACAAGTCCCTAAGCATTAAGCCACATGTTTCCCTAGAAGTTGTTAGAGCACAGATTTAGCGCTCCATCATGTGCCCTCCAGCAAAAGCCGACCAGAGGGTCTACTTCTTATCTGTCTATGACACATATGAATCCCAAAGTCAAAGTACAGATTGAGAAGTATACATTACCTGAGGTCAAATAGTTAATAATGAAGGCAACATCAGTACTCCAGGTGTGGGGAAAAAGGATAATACTTTCAACTCTTTTGTTGCTGTGGGGAAGATGGGTCATTTTTAACTCTATGAGAGCAGCAAGGGTCTTGCTTATGTTGAACCCACTACAACCTTGGCAAATTGGTCCCATCCCTTTATTTGTTCCCACCTTCTCCAGCAGATTGCCCCAACTATCATCACCTCTTTACGATCTCCAGTCTCTTCCTATCCTCTTCCTTCTTCCTCCTTCACAGCTGCCTTAAAAAGTGAAAAAACACAAAACAGAGAAACAAAACATAACAACAATAAAAACCCTTCACTTGACTCTACCGTACCCTCAAACTACTTTCCAATATTTCTCTCCCTTTCTCAAACACAAAGAAAAAGTCACACATTGCCTATACTTCCTCTTCCCCTCATTCCTTAACACTTTGCAATCTGGCTTCAGTGCTTATCACTGCACTGAAACTATTCTCTCTAATGGCCTTTTCTCACTCCTTTTTAACTTCTTACAGCATTTGATGCTCTTGACCACCCTCTCTTTCCAGACACTCTTTCAACTCTGAACTTTTATGACTCTGCTCTCTCTTGGTTCTCCTTCCAATTCGAGCCCTTCTCAGTCTCCTTTGCTGGATCATCATCTGTGTACTGCCCACTTAACTATGGGTATACTCCACAGCTCTGAACTTGGCCCAATTCTCTGTATAAACTTTCTCTTTTGGTGACCTCATCAGCTCATATGAGTTTAATTATCATCTCTATGCTGAAGACTCCCAGATCTATATATCTGACCCTAGTCTCTCTCTTGAGCTATGGTCATCATATCATCCTCCTCCTCCTCCTCCTCATCATAATAATGACACAACAACAACAGCTAACATTTATATTGTGCTTATTATGTGCCAGCCACTGTGCTAAACGCTTTACAATTATTATCTCATTTGGTCCTCACAATAATTCTGGGAGGTAGGTTCTATTATTATCCCCATTTTATAGATGAAGAAACTGAAGCAAACAGATATTAAGGGACTTGCCCAGGGTCACACAGCTAGTAAGGCTGGATTTGAACTTAGATCTTCCTGACTCCAGGTCTGGCACTCTGTCTTCTGCACCTAGTTGCCCCCATATTGAACTAGAAGTGCCACACTCATCTCAAATTGAACATTTTTGAAATGGACCTCATTATCTTTCTTCCCTAAAACCTTCCCCTCTTCCTAACTTCCACTATCCTTCCAGTCAACCATGTTAATAACCTCAGTGTCATCCTCTGCTCTTTATTCTTGCTCATCCCACATATCCAGTCAGTTATCAAATCTTAGCATTTTTACCTCTATAGCACTCCTGTTGTTCCCTTCTCTCTTTTCACATAGCTACCACCCCAGTTAACATCTTTATCACATTTCTCTTGAGCTATTGTAAGAGCATCCCAATTTGGTTGACTGCTTATAGTCCTTCTTCAACTCCAAGCCATTCTGAACACAACTATCAAAATGGTTTTCCTAAAGCATTGCCCAATAAACTCCAGTATTCTCTATTGCCCCTAGTATCAAACATAAACTGCTTTGTCATTTAAAGCCCTTTACAACCTGGCTCCCTCCTATCTTTTCAGCTTTATTGCATTATACTCTACAGCCCAGCCAAGCTGAACTTGTTGCTTTTCCTCACAGACAACATTATATTTCCAGTTTCCATGTTTTTGTAATAGCTGTCTCCCACATCCCATGCGTGAAACTCTCTCCTCACCTCTATATTTTATAATCTCTAGTTTTCTTCAACTTTAAGCTCAAGTGCTATCTTCTACAAAAAAGGCTTTGCAGAGCCTCCTGGCTGTTAGGACCTTCTCCTCCCAAAAACTTTACATTTATTGTGTGTGTGTGTGTGTGTGTGTGAGACACATATATACACATATAAACACATGCATATATAATATACATACATACATACATACATACATACACAGGTTGTCTCTTTGGACTAGATCATAAGATTCTTAAGGGCAGATGCTGTTTCACTTTTGTTTTTGTATTCTAATGCCTAGCACAGTGCCTGATACATAGTTTGTGGAGGATGATAAAAAACTGTGGATACAAAGCCGTATATGGGGATATAATGTGAGACATCACTTCATGATGGGAAGACAGAGATCCTGGGACATAAGGCAATTGCTAGAGATATGGCCACTAGGAAAGAAAGCAGGGCAGGGTGGGCCAGCCCTGGGGGAGCTCATCTTGTGTACAATCAGGTGTCTATGTGTGGGTGTGAAAAGAAAGGTCTCCATCTGTTAGCCTCCTATTTTAACACTTGCCAACTAGGTTGTTAGCTCAATTGTTTCTGCATTGTGAAGGAGTATAAATGCTGTCAGACTCCTCTAAATTTTGGCTCTGTGTAAACAGAACATCCCAGTCCTCACTTTGTGTTTAAGTTAGACTAAATGATCTTTATGGAAGACATTGATTTGGTGATTACTTTGTACCTTATTTTACTGGACTCTGGACAACTCATTGATCTATCCAACAAGATCCTGTTGTATACCTAGGCATAAAAATTGCACTCAGCAATTTTTCCCCTTCTACACATGTCATGATGTTTGGACTCCCTTCGATGAGCTAATGTCTGTTCGCTATGAAGTATGTGTTTACAAATATACAAATGTGTGAAGCACTGTGTGTAAGAGTGTGTGTATGTCTGTATGTGTATATATGTGAGCATATATGCTAGGACATAGATAATTTTTTAAAAAGTCTTTATTTATTTATTTATTTATTTTTGCTTAGTGTTTGCAAAGTTCGCATCTTTGAAAACTGGAATTTTATGTCCATTGGTGATTTGTCTCCATTGCTCTATTTTCCCATCTCATGGTATTGTCCAATTTGGTCTATTGCTGATTTGACAAATTCTGCTATTGTTTTTCTTCTTTCTCATTCTTAAAAAATACTTTGCAATATCAGAAATAACAATAAATCTTCCCTCCATCAAAACATTTCTTATCAAGAACATTGCTAATCTACAATGGCACTGGATAGATTCAACAGAAAGTGAGGTCTTTTCATGCCCATAAGGCTCACTGTATTCATCTTATTATAGGATTTGTGGTTAAAATTAGCTGAGAGGGAAAAGTTGGCCCTCGAATTTTGTATTCATTTTTTTTTCTGGACATACCTTTTAGCTATAGTAGCATAAAGTGCTGCCTACGCATAGATGTGAATTGCATCATAATTTTTATTTATTTATTTCCAGTGCTGAGACAGCAAGACCCTCTGGAATAATAGTTTTTATAAGCATTTTCCAAAAGTGAGGTGATGTGATGACAAATGTGACGAAATGATTGAAATGATTCATGTGCCTGTTTGAACTAAAAGTGACCCTCACTTTCCTTCAGCCACTTCAACAGATACATTTCATTTATTTGGATGAATGCTGATTTATGGCTTCTTTCTGTACCTCTAAGGATGGTGTTAGGCATGTCTAGTTTTGTTTATTGCTTTACACTGAAGTGATTGAATAAAAAAGGTGGAGATAAGATGAGATAATGCAATGTGTTTCCTGGTTCGGTTAGTGACTTAATCCCTTAACATTCATTGGCTTCTTACAGAAAATTGAAGGGGAAGAAGATGAGAGAAGGGGGGGAGAATAGAAGGGAGGGCAGATTAGGGGAAGGGGTATTCATAATGCATGCCATCTTGGGGTGGGAAGAAGGATGGGATGGGGAGAAAATTTGGAACTCAAAATCTTCTGGAAGTGAATGTTGAAAACCAAAAATAAATAAATGAACAACCCCCTCAAAACAAAAGAAAAGGAAAAAAATGGGGAAAAAACATTCATTGGCTTCAATTTTCTGGGCAACAAAACCTACAGAACAAATTATTTTTAAATTACTTTAAGCTCTCTGAGGGAAATTTTTTTTGTTACCAATGCCAACTAATAATAATAGCAAGAATTTATATAGTGCTTCAATGTTTACAAAGCACTTTCCAAATATTATCTTATTTTAACATCATAATAACCATGAGAAGAACAGATGAAGAAACTAAGGTAGAAGTCACATATCTTTGAATCCACACACTTTGAATTCAAAGTTGTAGTTATGTAAAATATATTTACTGATTCCAGCCTAGTGGATATATATGGGGTGTGTAGGGGTGTGAGGAGGTTTGGGGTATGTGGTATTCAGGGAGTACTAGCACTTCTGGTGTGAAGGATTGCCAAACCCTTTTCAGTGTTACTCACCCACCTTTGGTGTCCACTTATCACCCAACTCTCACCTGTGGCTCCAAGAAGCTGTAGCACGTGCAGCAGCCATACCCTGGTGAAAGCATCTCAGCAGACTAGCAAACCAGGCTGAAGGTAACTGATGGGACTCAAACCTGTTGGTAAGTTAGAGGGATATCTACCCCTTGCATGTGGAGACTTCCCCTGGCGAAATGGGCAGATGAGAACAATTTGTTCCAGTGGCCATGAAGGCAACTAGCAGGTGCTGTGGAGTGCTTAGAGCTTGGTCAGATGTCCAAGATGCTAAAGTTCATCCACTGTATCCTAGACTATTGCCAGTGTCTTGACCTTTGTCTTGTCACTGGACTTCAATGACTCTGGAAGAGAGAGTGAGGCTGATATGTTCACAACTGCCTCACTTAAAACCAATTCATGCATGAGGCAAGACATCTTCTTTGAAAACAAAGGATGAATGACTACAACTTACCCATGTAACATTGGGCAAATCACTAAACCTTCCTGGGCCTCAGTTTCATCTTCCGCAACATGAAGATAAATAATATCTGTGTTACTTACCTCACAGGGCTGGAGTGAAGACCAAATGAAATAATCATTGTGTCCCCCAAAGCCTGGTAGACTTGTTAATAAATGAACTACAAAAAAAAAGGGAAATTATTGTAATATCATTTGCAATTACTCTAATTGGCAGTGGTTTGCTTAATTGTTTGGGGGGAGTAATCTGTTCTTTCATGAGTGTTTGCCATGATGTTTGTTGGACACAAAATACGTCAGTTGTTTTTCAGTCCTTGAGTCCTGTCTGACCTTTCATGACCCCATGGACATGCCAGGCCCTTCTCTAATCCACTATCTCCTGACATTTGTTCAAGTTCATGTTTGTTATTTCCATTACACTATCTATCCATCTCATCCTCTGCCATCCTTCTGAGGCGCAACAGTAATTACCAACCTTTGCCTTTAATCTTTCCCAACATCTGAGTCTTTTCCAGTGAGTGATATCTTCTCATTAGGTGGCCAAAATGTTTAAACTTCAGCTTCAGAAAATGTATCAGTACACTGTATACCAAGATAAGGTCAAAATAGGTACGCGATTTAGGTATAAAGGGTGATGCTGTGGTTAAATTGGGGGAGCATAGAATAATTTGCCTGTCAGATCTATGGAAAAGGGAAGAATTTATGACCAAACAAGAGATAGAGAGGGGCAGCTAGGTGGCACAGTGAATAGAGCACCGGCCCTGAAGTCAGGAGGACCTGAGTTCAAATCCAGCCTCAGACCAAACTTTTGACACTTATTAGCTGTGTGGCCCTGGGTAAATCACTTAACCCCAATTGCCTAAGAAAAAGAGAGAGAGAGAGAGAGAGAGAGAGAGAGAGAGAGAGAGAGAGAGAGAGAGAGAGAGAGAGAGAGAGAGAGAGAGAGAATCATGAAATGGAAGATGGATCATTTTGATTGTGTTAAGTTAAAAAGGTTTTGCACAAATGAAACCAGTACAGTCAAGGTTAGAAGGAAAGAAAAAAGCTAGGGGAAATTTTTTTACAGCATGTGTCTTTGATAAAGGCCTCATTTCTTAAATATGTAGAGAACCGAGTCAAATTTATAAGAATACAAGTCATTCTCCAATTTATACATGGTCAAATGATATGAACAGGTAGTTTGCAGACAAAGAAATCATATCTATCTACACTCATATGTAAAAAATACTATAAATTATTATTGATTAGAGAAATGCAAATTAAAACAATGCTGAGGTACCATCTCACACCTATCAGATTGATTAATGTGATAGAAAAGGAAAATGATAAAAGTTGGAGGGGATGTGGGAAAATTGGAACATACACAATATTGGTGGAGTTGTGAACTGATCCAACTATTCTGGAAAGCAATTTGGAATTATGCCTACAGGGCTATAAAACTGTGTATACCCTTTGATCCAGGGTATGGTACTAAGCCTGTATCCCAAAGAGATTTTTAAAAAGGGGTGTGGGGGGGAAGACCTATTTGTACAAAAATATTTATAGTAGCTCTTTTGTGATGGTAAAGAATTGGAAATTGAGGGGATGCCCATCAATTGGGGAGTGACTGAACAAGTTGTGGTATGTGATTGTAATAGAATACTATTGTGCTATAAGAAATGATGAGCAGGTGGACTTCAGAAAAACTGGGAAAGACTTACATGACCTCATGCAGAATGAACAGGGAAGAGAACAGGAAAACATTATACACAATAACAGCAATATTTTACAATAATCAGCTATGAATGACAACTATTCTCAGCAATACAATGCTCTAAGACAATGTCAAAGGACTCATGATAAAAAATGCTGTTCATCTCCAGAAAGAACTGATGGAGTCTGAATGCATTTCAAAGCATAATATTTTTTGCTTTATTTTTTTTTCTGTTTTCTTTCACAACATGACTAATATGGAAACATGTTTTTCATGATTACACATGAATAATCTATATCAAATTGATTACAGTCTTGGAGAAGGAAGGTGAGAAGGGAGGGAGGGAGAGAATTTGGAATTCAAAATTTTAAAAAATGAATATTAAAAATAGCTTTTACATGCAGTTAGGAAAAATAAAATATTATTAGAAGACAAAAATAAAATAAAATGTGTCATTATTATCTCCCAGCTCAAAAAATGAGATGCTTAATATATTTCTGTCAAGATGAACATATATAAGATACTTTGTAACCACAATGTTCAGCATAAATGTAAGATTTTATAGTGATGATGATAGGTACTAGTGTAAAATTAACTCCCCCACTTATTTTTTATAAATATCTTTTGGTTTTATATCATCTTCATTTTTTAATATACCCCCCTCCCCACCCAATGAGCTATCTCTTACAACAAAATTTTTATTTTTAATTTGAGAGGAAAAAAAAACAGTTGAGCAAAAACAATTAACATATAAATCATGCCTGGCAGTATATGCAATATTCTGCACACATAGAATCAGCCAAGAACTATGTCCTATAATTTGGGTTCCACAGACTGTCAAGAAATTTAACAAGAATGCAACATAATAAAAATGTATTCTACCGAAGCACCCTTGGTGTGGATCAATACCTAAATATTTCAAGGAGGTAAGAATTTATTGCTACATGTACTTGCCTTACACAGAAACTGTTAACACATTTTAATAGGTGGTTTGATTGAGTGTCTGTGGCTAAAAAAGAATTCTTTGGCTGGCATACCCAAAGTACATTCATTTCTAGGCCTTTTCAGCACCTTAGAAAATACTACAGTTGTGAACTGCTCTGGCTTAACTACCCAAGGCTCATTACTTAGTCCCTCAGCTAGTAGAGAGAGTACCTATATAAGACAGAAGTAAATCAATAAAAATTCATTAAGAACCTACAGGCAATGTGCTAAGTCCTGGGGATACAAAGAAAGGCAAAAGACAGTTACAGCTTTCTCTTAGTTCACAGTCTAATGGGATAAGACAACATGTAAACAACTATATACAAACAAACCATAGACAGGATAAATTGGAGAAAATCAACAGAGAGCAAAAAGTTCTAAAGACAAAAGGAGAGTTGAGTCCTGGAGCCTAAACCAAGGCATAAAAAGCATAATTTGAACCTATTTTTCTCAGAGCACAAAAATTTCCTGGTATTTAGTTAAGTAGCTACTTTAAAACTTAAAATGATACTGTAATATCCTTCTGCAAAGAGTTTAATTTACTCTCAAGAAAAAGTACATGGTGACAATCTGGCTCTAATGGCTCTTAAAATTGAGACAGTTTAGCTCAGCTCTGACTTTAAGTCATTGTAGAGCAGATGTCATTGTCACATGTCATTTTAAATGAGAAAGAGAAGGCAATTAATAGTTAAATGCAGAAACTTCATTTTCATACAGTCATTGGACCTGTAACAGCGACACAAAACAAACCTTTAAAAGGAAAATATCCAACCCTCAGCTTTCAGCTGATAATGAACATAATAAGAAACACCAAGAGGATATACCAAATAAAAAGACAAGTCACTTGAGGTTTCCCTATCCTCATCTTGTCCACATTTTGAACTTCTCTTAAATATTTTTTGAGCCTCTAGTAGCAAAACATCAACTATCAACTTTCTCTCTTCTGCCACCTTTCCTTGGGGCCATTATTCTTCCCAAAATTTCCTTTGACTAAACAAGACAAAACAGGAAAACTCAAGAAAAAAACATTAAAAGCTCAGTTTGATTTGGTAAGAGCCTAACTAACATGCTGGTTCCATCTGTATCATCTTTCATCATAAACTGTAAATTCCCAGGCACATAGATGCCTCATTTTAATTCACTTCTGTCTATTCCATTTTCATGTAGTCAAGCACATAATATACCCGGAATAAATCTTAATTGTTGTTGCTACAGCTAAATTTCCCCAACTGCCAGATATTTGGCAGAAAGAACTCAGAATGGCAGACTCATGCCCTCTTTTTAAGGGCTATTCAGGTTGAAGGAGTGGAAATTTGACCTACAGTTTATCCTGTTTCCCTTATTAGCATATTAATGTCACCAAGATTTGCATTTGACTAGGGAGTTTTTCTACCACTCCCATAATCCAGCTGGTCTGAAAATCACTGTTTTCTCTTCATTTTTAAAGAAAAGGTGAGACAAATTGTGGTCTACTTACATTAGGGAAAATGAAAGTAATGCTAATATTAGTAGCTTGAAGTGAATTAATTGCTTCCAAACAATCCTTATTGGTTTAGCCCCTTAGGTGTTGCTATTTACACCTGTCTCTCAAATGCTAATGACCAATTTACTTCGGCAGTTAAACGTATTACCTTTAGAAATTCCTTTAAAAATCTAATGAATGATTTCTTTTGCCTAGAAGTACATTACCTACACATATATAGGAATAATTCATTAATGACATTTCAGAACTGTCCTAGTGAATCCAAAACAGAAGCCTCTAGACCCCAACCACTCCCAACCCCAGGACCCAATAACTGATTATTCCTCTTCCCAAATACTAAGGTCCAGTCAGACTGTTCTTGTTTAGTCGTTTCAGTCCTAAGGAGGGAACAAATAACGGCCCCATTTGGGGTTTTCTTGGAGGTTGAGTGACTTGCCTAGGGTCACATAGTTGTTAAGTGCCTGAGGTCAGATTTAAACTCAGGAAGATGAGTCATCCTGGTTTCCAGCCCAGTGCTCCATCCAGGGGCTACCTAGCTGCCCCCAGAATCTGACACATACTAAGCGCTTAATAAATGTTTTTGATTGATTAATATAATTATATATGTAAATGTCTCCCCCAACTATATTGTAAGCTCCATAAAGTCAAGGAATGTTTCACTTTTTTCCTTATATCTATAATGCCTAGCAAGTATTAAACACTTAATAAATTGATTGATTGACTTTGGAATGAATAATGAAAAAAGCATTTATTAAGCGCATGCTATTTGCCAAGCACCATGCTGAGTCAAAAGCAGAGTTACTGCCCTCAAGGAGTTTATTTTCTAAGCCCTGCAACAACACACAAAGAGGAAGGGATAGTGCCGAGGAAATTACACTTTGGTTAGGAAGGGAGAGGTTAGAGGAAAGGGTTTAAACAAGGCTGTTAGTGAGAAGATGATTGGAGTGGATTGAGAGTGAAGTGTGGCATGGTTGCAAGGACTTTATTGAAATATTGATTCTGGAAGCAGCAGTCACCAATCATAATCAATAAGGGCCCCATGGCATAAGTTTCTCCAGAGTGGTAAGATGTTTAGAGAGTAGGTAGGGTAGGACATTTAAAAATATTACCACCACCTCGTAAATACCTAGAGAAACAGTGAGAATGAGTATGGGAAGGGAAAAGGCAGGGGATTTTTAGTACACATCCTCGTTTGGGACCTGGTTTCCCAGTATTTCAAAATGGAGCAATGCCCCCAAGTCCCAAGTCAAATTATGGCATCTTCTGATAATCTTTTCTTCCTATTAAAAATATTTTTTTTATTTGATGACTTTTGTCTTTACATCATAATCATTTTTAACCCTACCCCAGGTTGAACCTTTTATCATGAAAAAGAAAAAGTATTTAGCAAATCCATCCATATAGTGACTGCATTTCACTATATAGCCAATATTTTCCCAGAATGTACACTGGTTTTTAATTACTCAGAGTTCAACCTCCTTTTAGTGATTTTTTTTTTTTTAGCATTGCAATCATTGTACATATTGTTCTCTTGGTTTGGCTTATTT